AAGCCTTCCCATGAAACCACAACTATGTGCAATAATCTAATTACATCCTTGTTGAAGACAATACATGAGGTGAATGCGGTATCTATAGCCCCTGCTTCAGGCACTAGCAGCCCAATTAGCTACAGTTACAATTTGTCTATTGTATATAGCCTATCTACAACATACTCATGAACATCAGAGTGACTGTGTACGTAACAATAAATGCAGTGTTGTCATAAGCTGTTAAAAATAGTGGAAACAAGTGGAAAAATCATTTCTTCAAAATGAAGGGGGATATAGGGATGGCTTGAAGCACCAAAAAGGAAGAAATGAAAAGCACTAAAGTGCAAACCCTCGGCGAACTGCATATGCGCGGTACCGCTAATTGATGGGCTGGGCTATTAGTGTGCGTTTACTCGCGGTCCCTCTAGTAGCTCGCAGAGAGTCTGACACGGGCTAGCTACAGCAATAGATAGCATGCGAGAGTCGATACACGCCATTCGTTGTGCCTTATTGTGCCTTCAAGATACACAGAGCAAGCGGACCCGGTCGAGGTAAGCCTGTGCTGAATATAAGCGCATGCGCATTTTCCGGAGCGATAAAATGGCGTCTACCGGCATTAGCCGTACAATGCCGGATGCGCTCTAGCTTTGCAACGGAGCATTTTCAGAGAAAACCGCCTTTATTTTCTGACCTTCATTGCCCGTTAAGTAGGTCGTATCCTTTGTGAGACGAACAAACACCCGTGAAGTGAGATTGAGAGTAACAGACACACAGACAAACCCAACTACAGTAACCCTCGCTGCGCATGCGCGCCGAGGGTTAACAAGGGGTCATTACACAGCAAAGATGCGCAAAGCTACATGACACCATCCCTATATCTTTGTTTTATTGTTTATAAGCAAAGTTTAATATGAGACAAAGATATAGGGATGGTGTCATGTAGCTTTGTGCATCTTTGCTGTGCAATGACCCCATGTTAACCCTCGGCGCGCATGCGCAGCGAGGGTACTGTAGTTGGGTGTGTGTGTCTGTCTGTCTGTGTGTCTGTTACTCTACATCTCACCTCTCGAATGTCTGTTCGTCGTAGAAACGATACCATCTACCCAACGGGCGATGAAGGTCAGAAAATAAAGGCGGTTTTCTCTGATAATGCTCCGTTGCAAAGCTAGAGCGCTTCCGGCATTCTGCGGCTAATGCGTAGTCGGCCATTTTATCGCTGCGGAAAACGCGCATGCGCTTATATTTTCATTAGCGGTACCGCGCATCCCCAGTTCGCCGAGGGTTTGCACTTTAGTGCTTTTCATTGGGTCTGTCTGTTTGTCTGTTTGTTTGTCTGTTTGTCTGTTACTCTACATCTCACTCCTCGAACGTCTGTTCGTCCCAGAAACGATACCGTCTACCCAACGGGCGACGAAGGTCAGAAAATAAAGGCGGTTTTCTCTGAAAATGCTCCGTTGCAAAGCTAGAGCGCGAAAAAGCCAATACACAACGGCTTACCACAGTCGGATCGATCCGCGTGATCTGCGTATATACTTCGGAGGCACCAGAAGATGCAACGCAGGGCGTGTATCGCCTCTCGCATGCTATCTAGTAGTGTAGTTAGCCCGCGTCAGACTCTGCGCGAGCTGGCAAGAGACCACGAGTAACAGCTAAAAAAACTAAACCCAGCCAATCAATTAGTGGTACGCCTCATGCGTTTACTTACGCGTGCGCGTCACAGTACGCCGAGGGTTTGCACTTCAGTGGTTTTCATTTCTTCCTTTTTGGTGCTTCAAGCCATCCCTATATCCCCCTTCATTTTGAAGAAATGATTTTTCCACTTGTAAAATATGAGTTTGACCTGTGCCATCCATAGGGCGTCACCCATTCTTTGGTTATTATGCAGTATGGTTAGTATACAACAATTATTTATACAAACGTGTCTGTTTAGTCCTCAGTGTGGTAGTGACTTTCGAAGTAACAGACAAAAGAAATGGAGTTTTCAAAGTCAAATGTACTTCTACTGGCGGAGCAGTACTGACAATGTCCATCAGTGGGCCATTGGGTAGGCAGGAAGACTTGGATACCTCTGCAGTAGGCACACCTCAAAGGACAGGGAATGACTCATACTCTGCAGAGATCCTTCTTCAAGGTGGTAATAATAGCGACACATACATCTGTTTCTCTTCCAATATAGTGTCCAACTCATCTAGCAGTTCCTATCTGAAAGGTATTGGGTTATTTTTCTTATTACGTATGGTATGATCACCCTATTTTCTCAGTGTGTTCAAACCCTATTATACTCTCTGTAAAGCAGAAATCAGCAACGTCAGTCATAGTGGAGTGGAGTCAGCCATGCCGTCCTCTGATTTCAGCTAGGCGAATAATCACCACTATAAGGGGGCGTCGAGCCCAAAATTCCGTGGTTATTAGCAGTAGGTTTAGTATAACAACAATTATTTATGACAAAAACGTTGTCTGTTTTTAGTTCATACAGTTGGTAGTTGACTTTCAACGTAACAGACAAAAGAAATGGAGTTTTACAAAGTCAAATGTAATATACTGGCGGGTAGCAGTAATGAAAGGTCCACAGTGGGCATTGGGTGGTAGGCAGGAAGACTTGGATACCTCTGCAGTATAGGCACACTCAAAGGACAGGGAATGGAAGGAGCTCAATAATCTTGCATAGAGATCCTTCTTCAAGGTGGTTAATATAATAGCGAACATACATCGTTTCTCTTCCAATATCGTGTCCAACGTCATTAGCAGTCTTTATCTGAAAGGGTATTGGGTTATTTTTTCTATACTTACTGGTTATAAGTATCACCCATATTTCTCAGTGTTTAAACCCTATCATACTCTATGTCAAGCAGAAATCAACAACGTCAGTGATAGTGGAGTGGAGTCAGCCATCAGAGGGATCACAGCAGTGACTGCATATGTCAGTATACACTATACAGTGAGTGGAGTTGATAAAATGACTCTGAGGATGTACTGCACACTTCACTAGCTCCTCCCATAGCAACCTCACTACTACTCACTAACAAAAATGCCTTGGCCTTGAATACGTCCAGAGGTTGACGCAATATCAGAGCACCTTACGGAGAGTCCGAGATCCATAGCAATGCTTTAGGTTATGAAACATTAACACCCGTACATCCGTCGGATTTTTTATCAACCAAAGTTGTTTGCTGCTCTTTTCAGTTTTTTGCTTGTGTGGCAATGCGGTGGCATAGACGAGAAGCTATGAGTTCCACATCCATATAGTCCGATGGACTGGTATGGTGCCTGCAATAGTACCAGTCAGATAGTCAAAACAGGGTGGGTGAAGTACAAGCAGAGTTCAGGTATGCCACACCATACTGTCAATGAAACAAGAGAGGAAATCTCACTGACTGGACTGGTACCTCCACACGTTACTCCGTTGAGGTGGCTGCACGGAACTGAGAGGGAGACATTCGGCCCCTATCGCCCTCAATTAATTTACGGTGGGAACATGGAAGATAGTTAAGTCCTTTTACTTACTGGGAGATTTAACCTTTGTGATGAGCTTTGTACATGACGAAAGTGAGCAAAAACTTATTTTCTCTTTCCTCGTTCATGGTTTTTTCTGTCCAAAATGTGTTGGAAATCTCTCAGCATCCTCAACACTCTCACAATATATCTTCCTGGCGTGCACCTATTTGCTACTGGTGTCGCATCATCGCGTATGCAGGTGTCCGACCCACCAGCAAACATTCAGCGAATGAAGCATCAGTCTGACACCACGGATGTGGAAGTCCACATTTCTCACAGCAGGGAATGACTATCTGGAGGAGGGTCTGACTATATATCTCTCTGTCAGAGCATACACTATAGTTGGACGGGAACCACGTCCTCTCTAAGAACTTCCACTTCCACACTTCTCCAGCTGTGGTACTAATACTTACATTAGAAAGCCCTACGTTCTATTCTCAAACTGTTCAGGAACCGCAATGATACTGTTGTGACGGTGGATAGTGCCTCATGCGTGACAGCATTGTTTCTCATTTACCTTGCTGTCATCTTGCTCTACATCTACAAGTGAGTTAGGAACTTCTATATGACAGTCAACTTAAACTCCACTCATATATGATTGCCGAAGCAACGCAGGAGTAAACGTAGAACTATCAAACAAATACGATCAAAGCGACCAGAGTGCCAATGCTAGCAATCTACTCTCTCTTCCATACACTGACACTCAGATACTAATGCAAGCAGAGATATAACAAATAGTGGTAAAACCATATTTACACCTGCTTATTGAGGTGTAGAATCTTCGTCACTTATACAGCAGAGTGAACTCATGCAAATTTCGAGGAAGACGAAGATTCCGAAGATATTTGTCGTTCGACATCATACGACTGCTAGAAGCAGCCTGTGCAAGGACAGATCTCACCATATCTATGAGACGATTTTTTGATGATTCAAAATGACAAACCCAGTTGTCCAGGGACTGTAGATGATTTGTGGAGACTATGTCGCAAGATAGGTCATCCCATGAAATAATGACTTAAAGCCCACAACACACCAATCCCAAATTTTTGCGGTATAGGAGCTCCATTAAAACACTATATTCATGAATCACTTGGAACTTGTGTCCCTTAGTGTCACGTAGTTGCAAAGTGTGAGATCTATAAAAGACACATTTTGGTAATACGTAAGCACTTTTTTATTTGTTATACAGTAGTTACAACAGTATGATCGAAGAGGTTCCCAAGGCCTCTAAAAAAGACTAACACGAATCTTTCTCTCCTTAACTTATTTAAAATCTCTTCTAAAAGTAATAAGAGCTTATTAAGAAGAAAGCCCTCATAAAGGAAATACTTCCTAAGAAAGTCTAAGAATTAACTAAGAAAAGATATACGAACTAAATACCCCCCCCAAAGCTAAGGGGATAAATAAGGTAAAATAATACTTATTAAAGCTTAAGATAAGATCCTAAAAACAATTCTATAAGTAATAAAACGTACTAAAAAGTGCTAACATAATAAGAATCAAAACAAATACGGGCATATCTCTAACTTAAAAGAAAATTTACCCTCAATAGAAATTCTAAGGGACCGTAATTAACGAAACGTAAATTTAAGGAAAGTCCAAACTCAACAGATTTTCCAATTTTACTGTTTGTAAGTGGCCTAATAGTCTCTAATTGTACATAACATTATATCTACTAGGTGAAGACAACCGGGTAATACTCAAACCTATTCGTGGCCACTCAGATTGTGAGGAAGACTTCATTAATGCCAGCTACATTGATGTCAGTTTATAATTGAATTTGTTAAATGTGTATAAGTTCATCTTTTACACTGCCACATATAGGGGTATAAAAAGATATAAGATACAGCAATATATTGCAACACAAGGTCATTTTACAAAAGCACTATATAGGCATTCACTTGTGTTGGTTTACTACAGGACCACTGCCTAACACAACTGTTGACTTCTGGAGGATGGTGTGGCAGGAGAGGTCTCAGACCATTGTGATGGTCACCAATCTGGTGGAGGGAAATAGGATCAAGTGTCACAAGTACTGGCCAGAGACCGGGACCCTGTCCTTCGGTCCCTTCAATGTCACCATCACAGGACAACAGATACTGGCTGACTACACCACTCGCCACTTTGCTGTTCAGGTACTACTGAATGAGGTCATGTACAGCTACCATCAGTCCTCCTACAATTAAACTTTTTCCATGTAGCTCACAGAGAGCCGAGGAGATATTCTAACTGTGACTCAGTTCCACTTCACAGAGTGGCCTGAGTATTGGGTGCCTTACTCTGCCACTTCACTGCTAGTCTTCCTCAAGAAAGTGAAGAAACTTCATGAGTTATCAAAAGGACCAATGGTTGCTCACTGCAGGTATATACCTAATACAACGCATTTTTGGAAGCGTACAGTTCAAATTTTTTCGTGTGTGTTTTTGCGCCTACTTGGAATCATTACGGTGCAGTGTTGCAGTGTGGGTCACAGAATAATGCCCGCATGGGCAGGCTAGCTTCACTTAAAACATGGTTATTATAGAGAAGAAAAATGTTTACATAGTGGCGGAAATGTTTACGTGATCCGTGAAGACATGCGCGAAATATTGAACTTCGCTCACCAAAAATGTGATGCACTCTTTCTAGAAAGGATACTATTCAGGGGGCCTAAAAGTATGACAACTGTGTAATGCTGTAGCATATTATACGCTCATTGACTTTTAGTGGCTTTATTACAATGTTAACGGAGTAAATGGAATAGGTGTGGTTTTTTTATCCACAGTGCTGGTGTTGGGAGGACAGGGACTCTGATAACTATCGACTGTGTTCTTGAGCAGCTGAAAGAGGAGAAGGTGGTGGATATAGCTGGTGTCATCATCCACCTCCGCACACAGAGAATGAAACTTGTTGAAAGTCTGGTTCGTATATAGAGTGATTTCTTTTATCATCCAGCTAGCTTCTTGGATTGATTGTAAACACAATATAGGAGCAGTATATCTTTGTCCATGTCCCTTTCACGCGCTCTGGGAGCTGACGCTGATCAGCAGATCGCTTGGTTCCAGATCAAGGCCCTCAGAATGGCTTCATTTCTCGAAACAACAGGCCATGAACATGTGGCAGCAAGATGGCCAGTTCAACAGGTTGGAAACAAGCGATCTGCTGATCAGCGTCAGCTCCCAGAGCGCGTGAAAGGGAGAGGATGCTGCCAACCCGCCGTAAAGTGTCTATTCTGATGCCGCTCGGCTTCTCATTGGATGTTTTAAAAAAATAGCCTGTGGATTTGCAAGAGTTTCAGTTATCAGCCCCTCCCGTTATTTCGTGCGTGAGCAATGTTGTAGGGGGCGTGGCCTATGGCGCGTGCGTGGGGGCGCGGTCACTTGTGCGGCTTCCGGAAGTCGTTGCGCGCTGGGTCCGTTCTCTACACTTGATCCGCCAGCCAGTTATGCTGACTTACAGAAGGCACTGGAGGATAAGAATTCCTCTGCAGGCATCCTGGCTTAGTCTCGTGGACGACCTGGTTCACGCACGAGATGAGCCCCTTGAGAGATCGTTCATTTCGCTTTGGTTTCGTCCCGGAATCTCTTCTCATTCGTCCAGTTTGCTCGCCACGTGCTCTTGCTCGTCGTCGTCCGTCAATGCGCGCGCACCGCATTGGGGAAACGCCCTCCTCGGCGCATGCGGCTCACTGATGCTGAGTTAGCAGCAAATGGCGTTGTTCAGTGACTACCGTGGAAGAGCTCAATGATCTACCGTAGTGACTTGCGGCAAGAAACAAGCGATCGCTTGATATGCGTGCACACCTCCGGTAAACTTTGAGACGTTCTGTGAAAAAATCAACGCTTCAACTGCTTCCGGTAAGGAGCTAGCGGGTCTGAAGAAGAAGAAGAAGAATAATTATGATGATTATGATGACACGAAAATCGCGAAATCGCGTAAGAGCGAATTCTCTGGTGGGGAACTGAGGGCACGTAGGAAGTCTTGGGGCATATTTATAGCTAGGTATTGGCCTCTAGACTATTGCTAGTGATTTTGAAGCCATGGTGAGTCATTCTCGCTGAGTTTTGAGGCGTTTTATACGCGGATCACGTGAGATTTCACTCGCGTCATCCCTATAGCGTCTACCGACGCTCTGATACTATGACACAAAAACAACAGGAGACGTGTTATCAGTATTGGCCTCAGACTGGAATGGTTAAGTTTGGAGAGTATACAGTCGATTTGACAGAAGAACAGACAGTGATTGGATATACTATTCGTAAACTGAGTCTTTCAAATACTGAGGTAAGTATGTTAGTATAGAATTATTTAAATTTCTCCTTCATGCTTTGTAACAGTCTGGAAGTGCTCATCAGATTGTACAGCTGCACATAACTAACTGGAGTCCTGATGGTAGATGTCATAACCTCAGCACTGTTACAAGTGTGATAAGTCAGATGACAAACATCCAGATCACAACTGGCAACCGTCCCATCGTAGTCCATTGCAGGTATAGTTGGCTAGCTATAGAGTAAGGAAGGATGACTCAAACCTATTACTTGCATTCGTTTGTTGACAGGATTCTTACGTTTCCCACAGTGACACAGTGGGTAGGTCGGGGATGTTCTGTGCCATAGTCACCACCATTGAGAGGTGTAAGACAGAGGGAGTGGTGGATGTGTTCCAGGTGGTCAAGGCTCTCAGGGTACAGAAACCTGGAGCTGTCCTCACTGTGGTACGTCCCTTGGTAAAAGTACAGTGACAGCCACAACCTGATGTCCTTCATTGCAGGCACACTATCATTTGCTGTTTGAAGCAGTGTTGGTGTATCTGGACTCTTTTGACACTTACAGCACTTTTCTTAGTGATAAGAACCCTTGAATTATAGCTATGAGTTAGTGATATACACCCACACACCTATGTATGAATTTATGTACTGTATAGCACGGGTCATGTTTTATTAAACCAGGTCGATCTAGTTTTAATGTTGACTCACAATTACGTTTTACCCTTCCTGCCCCACCTCAAATACAGTGGAACCAAAGACAAATTGGTGCATGTATATTGACCCTTGCCATTTATAAAACTAGCTATATTAGAAGGCTGGCAATCTGTGAAAGGTCACTGAAGTTCATCCATGCAGTCATACCTGCTGATCCTGTGTGCACATTTGAACTGACGCTTCATGAGAATGCTACTGCATGGATGGCAATAGAAGAGCTATGTCAGTTCAGCAGGTTATTTCTTAATTACAATTGTTACTATTAGATTCGTCAATTGCAAGAATTATTGTTTTGAGTTTTGAAAATGCTCACAGATGTGTTTCATGTTCTGAGAAATACACAAGCAGTACATGCCTATCCCAGACATGTACTCTTTGATATTGTTTGTGTTGATAATGACCAGTTCCTCCGTAGGGGGACAATTGCCTACCGTTGACCATTGAGTATCAGGTTTGTAGCCAGCTATTTTATGCATATAACATACTCCATTATGTAAAGAGAGACAAAGATGCTCTCTTAAACGAAATTACAGGTGAAGTCATGTTACTAACTGATTGTATCATACACAGGCTCCTGTGTATGGGTAGGTGATGAATCTGTCCTTCTTGATGGTTTGTATCTCACACCCAGAGTTACACCATAGGCTGGATTATCCTCTGTGTACAATATTGGCCTGGCTCTGTGATGTGATCTAAAAAGGATCTGTAAACTCCCAAAAAAATTACATGAGGTTGTTACCTTTTGAACACAATGCAGGCAATAGAAATTCCAAAAATAATGATTCCAATTAATGCTGCACCACTTCCAATTCCAACTATAACAGCAGTCTTGATTAAAGTTGGAACTGCAGATAAAAAATATGTAGCTAGCTAGAAATTTTAAGAGAGGAAAGAATAACAGTCCTTCTTACTTGACTCAGCAGCAAGAGTAGCCACAGTAAGAGAGGAGGCATTTCCAGGTCCCACTCTGGTGTAGGCTCTCACAGAGAAGATGAATTCAGTGGCCTCCTCAAGGTTGCTCTCTGTGGTGAAATTAGTGGCCAGAGCTGAGGAGTTCACTCTAGTCTCAGGCTCTGAGGAAGCTGTTTGTCTGTAGGAAACCTCATATGCTATGATTATTCCATTAGGCATCAGTGGTGGCTCCCATGTCAGGGTTACTTGAGACGGAGAGGGAGATGCTGTGACTGCACCTACTGGACCTGGAACTAAAACAACATTCATAATCATCACAAAACTATAATAACGTTGACACATTACCATCTTCGTCAGACTGCATAGTGATGGGGTAACTGCATGGTCCCACGTTTCCCATCTCACTAACTTCCGCTACTTTAATGGAGTAGTTGGTGTATGGGGTAAGTCCAGTCAACATTGCCTCAGTTGATGATACGATGAGTTCACTGGTTTTATCCATAACACCACTTGATACAGCAGTGTAATGAACCATAAATATTTCAGACAGATGACTGACTGGACTGCAGGCACTCAGGTGGTCCCATTGGACTGAGATGACTGTTGAACTCACTGCTTCAGCTGTGACATTCACAAATAACGAGGCACCTAAATTTTGAAGTAAGTAAACAAGTACATAGCTTATGTTGCATAACTGTATACATACCTGCTATCAGTGTAAACCTCTCTGATATTCCTGAAACATGCTCTGAGGTGGCCTCAACTGAAATTGTGTAGCTGTAACAGCTAGTTAGATTTGTTATAATGTAGCTGGAGGAGGTTGCAGGTACATCCTCAGTCATGTTGTCGTCTCCATGACTGTAGTGTACTACATATCCAGTCACTGTGGCTCCTCCTGATGGCTGACTCCACTCCACTATCACTGACGTAGCTGATATCTGTACTACTAACATTAGAGTTGGACTCCCAGCAACTATGACAAAATAATTATTGTGTCACCCTGATACAAAGAAAACAGACAAACCTTTCAGAGAGAAACTGTGTGAAGCATTAGACACTACATTAGATGCCATACAACCATACACATCTCCATGAGTTCCATTTGTCCTATTAACCTCTGCTGAAAAAGTATCACTGCCTATCCACTCCACACTTCCATTTTCATTAATGTTCATCATATTCTCTACAACACCAGATGGTTCAGTGACAGACATTGTCAGTGGTCTGCCTCCAGTAGATGTACAAATCACTCTGAACTTCCCATTGCCTCTCTCCAGACCTTGAATACTCCCCGTAACTGACAAAACTGCAGCAGAAACAAGTCAAATATTACTTAACCTTGTTTCATGCTGAGACGGAAACTCCATATGAGAAATAGAGAGACCAGGATCAAAGTACATAGTATACATGTCATATATACTTGGAACAAAGTGAGCAGAATTTAGGGAACAAAGTTAATCCTTTGTAACTCAATTATCTGCTGTCTTTGTTCCTTACTGAGGCTACTTCTGTATCTCATGTGGCAGAATACTCCACCTAGATTGCAGAGTACCAACAATTCAAATCCACACAGGACAGCTCGAACAACTTGGTGTCTTAAACTTTTTGCTTCGCACTTTCATACCTCACTTATGATACATGCAGAGGCAGAGCTACAGTGTATGAATATTCTGAAATCTGAATGGACTAAGGTGGAGCCCCAAAGGCGATCATTCTGAATGCTGTTCATGCTGTTTGAGGAGATTACAAGCCTGCGGGCATTGTAGCATTCCTACACCACTGCACTACAATATTGTACGCGTACCAATGCAGAGACAGAGACTCTACACCTATTACCGCAAACCTAGCTCATTGCACACTGCATATTTTAGGTTCCTGTCATGTTAATGTGTGAGACACTACTCCTGAGAATTGTAGGCGAGAGGTCTAGGAACACTATCAGCCTAAAAAAGTACAGCACATAACGAGGTAGGCCCTTAAGCCAAGTGAAACAGTGTGGTGTAAAAAGTTTACTGAAAATGGCATATACATAATAATAGCTACTCAGGTTGCTGCCATAGCACTAGGGCCATAGACCACGCACCCAGAGCAATGGGCGGAACCGTTAACAAACGAACATACACCATATGAACATGCGGTGTCTGTCTCACCTCCCAGACACCTCAACTCACCCCTTCCACCAGCGACACCCTGCAGCTCCCCAGACACAATTTGAGACTGGGTCTGTTGTACGCTGGGATTATCGCCGTATAACCTAACCTTTCTTAGCTCCCAAACATTCAAAATGAAACCTTTAACAAGGCCAAGCAAAGAACCAAACACAGCTCACTACCCAAAACAAAGGATGCTTTCCTGAAACAATCAAGTGACTGGAAATGCACAAACCCATCATCCCCAAGCTTCCCCTGCAGGGCAACTAAGAAATTGCTCCTAAGACAATAATTATGCTGGGCAGTCCCACAACACATGACTCACACTTTCACACTCATCATCACACAACAGGCACTCCTTCATCCCCTCCCTCCCCCTATGCCTACCCAGTTCCTCATTTAGCCCATGCGTGCCTGACCTGAACTTAAACATTAATCTAGACCCAGCATCACTTTTCCCATGCAAGTACTTTTTGAACTCTACCACCTTGTTAATGTCTTATACAACAAGAGCTAGTTTGCTATTTAGCCCCTCTTCAAACTTTTTAATCTCCCTCTCATTGATACTGTCCCCTACTATAGATAAAAAGCCCTTCATGGAGCCATCCCCATTTTGAATATCATGCAACTACTCTGCCTTATCAAGACCTAATGACGAAAAGAGATCATCAATGACCTTACTCCAGCACTTCCTCTGCCTGCCTCTCCGTGACTTAAAATTCCATTCCTGATTAAAAGCTTCTTTGGATACCTATTGCCTGGCAATGCCGCTATCTTATACCACCACTTCAACTTAATCTTATCCCTATGCCCTTGTAATGTATCAAGCCCCATATCCCCCCTAATGGCTTCATTACATGTCTTAGACGAACACCCAAGAATACGCTTAGCTCCTCCCAGCATCACAGACTCTAACGCAGCTGCCCGAGTCTTATTGGCTTCCCACACTTCACTCCCATACTCTAAAGTTGGCCTAACCACCGCCAGCAACAACAACCTGCGAGCACTCAAATTAATATCCCTATTACTAATTACACTATGCAACTGATTAACCTTCCTTCTACCATTGTCTAACACATTTTTTATATGCACATCCCATGCACCAGTACTAGTAAAATCAACACCCAAGTATGTGTATTTAGATACTCTAGGCAAAACATACTCCCTCCATTTCCAAGCACCATCCACTGACTCCCTAGCGAACACCATCACTGCACTCTTTCTCACATTAGCCTTTAGCCTCCATTTTCGACAGTAAGCATGCACCACACCTATAAGCATCTGTAACTGATCCTTAGACTCACTACCAACAAAGCCATCTGCAAACAAAAGTCCTCCAAGCACAACTATTAAATTAGCACATACATATTTGCCAGTAATTGTACATAGTCACTATAAGGGTAGCTATCCTAGGATCTAGTTCGATTATAGTGTTAACAAGTGGTAGCTAAAAACATTTCTTCATAATGAAGGGGGACATAGAGATGGCTTAAAGCACCAAAAAGGAAACAACAAGGGGTCATTTCACGGCTAAGACACACATAATTATTAACATGACACTATCCCTATATCTTTGTCTGATCTTATTTCCCTATTAGTCAATAGAACAAAGATATAGGGATAGTGTCATGTTGATTTGTGTATCTTAGCAGTGAAATGGGTCCTTGTTCTTTCCTTTTTGGTGCTTTGAGCCATCTCTATATCACCTTCATTTTGAAGAAATGATTTTTCCACTTGTTTCCATTCTTTTTCATGAACCACTATGACTACAAAGAAAGCACCATGCACTAGCTTTTGTGTAGAGCAAAATGAAGTCGGGTAAGCAGGGACACTGAAACACACCACAAAGCAGTAAGGACTACAGAGCAAACCAACAGCCCGAAATCAACCGCCGCGCTGCCCGTGCGCGGCCTGCGCGAGCATCCGGACAACGCCCCCTGGCGCGTGTTGCTGAGTTACCAGGAAACGGCGTCGTTACGGAGGAGCTAAAACATCAACTACAGGGACTTGCGACAATAAAGAAGCGATCGCCTTATGGCCGTGTACACCTCCGTGGAACCTGGAGACGTTCAGTGAAAAAATCATGGCTGCAACTTGTTCCGGTAAGGAGATGGCGGGTCTGAAGAATAATATTATGATGACACAGGAAAATCGCGTATGAACGAGTTCTCGCGTGGAGAACTGATGGCACGTATCAAGTATTTGGGCACATGTATAGCTAGATAATGGCCCGTATACTATTTCTTGTGATTTCTTTAAGCTTAGCGAGTCATTCTCGCCGAGTTGTGAAGCGTTTTGTATGCGGAACACGTGAGATTTGACCTAGCGGAGCAGGTCAATGGTATAACATGCTGTTGTAGCATTCGTCCACCACTGCACTACGATTATACACATACCAATGCAGAGACAGAGAAACTACACCTATTAGCTACCGCAAACTTAGCTCATTGTACATTGCGAGTTTCCTATCCTGTCAATGTGTGAGACACTACTCCTGAGAATGGTAGGCGAGAGGTCTAAGAATACTATCAGCCTAAAAAAGTACAGCCTGTCAAACAAGGTAGGCCCTAAACCAAGTGAAACCGTTTGGGGTATATAAAGAAAATGGAAAATGGTATATACATACTTGCCAGTAATTAACCCTCGGCGCGCATGCGCAGCGAGGGTTACAGTAGTTGGGTTTGTCTGTCTGTCTGTCTGTCTGTCTGTCTGTTACTCTCATCTCACTTCTCGGGTGTCTGTTCGTCCACAAACGATACCATCTACCCAACAGGCGACGAAGGTCAGAAATATGTGGGGTTTTCTCTGAAAATGCTCCGTTGCAGAGCTAGAGCGCTTCCACCATTGTACGGCTAATGCGTAGTCGGCCATTTTTATCGCTGCGGAAAATGCGCATGCGCTTACCGGGTCCGCTTGCTCTGTGTATTTTGAAGGCACAAGAAGTCACAACGAAGGGCGTGTATCGACTCTCGCATACTATCTACTACTGTAGCTAGCCCGTGTCAGACTCTCTGCGCGCTACATAGCGGGAGACCACGAGTAAACGCATACTAGAGCCCGCCCTCATAGCGTCCCGCGCATCGCAGTTCGCCGAGGGTTTGCACTTCAGTGCTTTTCATTGTACTCATTGTCACTACAAGGGTTACCTAGGAGCTAGTTCGGTTATAGTGTTAATAGCTATTTAGCTATAACCATACTTCCAGATCTAGAACTGGCGAAAATGAAGACGAATAGCAATAAATGATGTCTTTGCAAGGATAGAAATAAGACAGATGATAGATTGATTTCGGTATATACATAAATTTTGCGCCAGCGGAAGCTCGGTTGTCTACGCTACATTGCAACCCTCGGGGCATGTGGGTAGCGCCCTCGCTGCGCTCGGGACGCCAACATTCCACAGCCCCTCGGGTTGCAATGTAGCGTAGACACCTCGCTTCCGCGTCTAACCTATATGTAGTGATACTAAGTACTACCGCACTTAGTGATAATTGTTAAAAAGCTATCCGCCTGTAGACAATTGCCATTGAAGCCTAGCGAGTAATTCTCGCCGAGGTTTTAAGCGTTTTTTACGCGGATGGCGTGAGATTTGATGGCTAACAGTTTTCCTGTGATCTTCCCACCATAATCATGTGAAGCCATTGTCATAGTTGAGAATGCAGTATAATTATTATACTGAGTCATAAGTGTAATACACATGAAAACACTAAAAACAGGAATGTGTTGATATTTCACTACCTCACACAGAAGAACTAAAAATGTAGATCACCGGAAGTTATTTGAGCTATGCTGCAGCAATTAATTACTCAGCGTAGTTAAGTCCTGGCACGGGATTTTTACGCGCAATGGCGCATTCCGACGCTCCTAGGGCAGCGGCTGGGCTTACCTCCCTCCGAAACCACCCGTCACCTCTTCCAACGGTGCGCTATTTGCCTCTGGAGAGGAAATGCAACTCTGTGGCTTCACCGTTGCCCAACGCCTCCCCCGCACATTGACAGTATTATTTAGCGTTTTTCTTTGTTTTTGTTGTTGTTGTTGTTGTTGTTTTTTATTGTTGAATTTTGTCTATTTGTTTGTTTGTTCTTTGTTTTTTTTTGTTTTTTTTTGCTTGTCTATTGTAATTGTTTATATCGTTTACTTCTCAAAAAAAACCAATAAATTGCGTCATGGCCAGGTGCGCACCCGCGCATTACGTCGTCCAAGGCGCGCGCCGGGACTCTCCCCCGTTGTTTGTATGGGGCCGGCTGCACTGAGAGAGAGCTAGGGAGAATGGAGAGCGGACTGTAGTGTCACGTGACTTCCATAACTACGTCACGGGCCGTCCGAGACGGCTGGCAACGGGGAAGATGGCTGGTGCTCGGCTTTTTCCCTCGAGGCGGTCCATGAAACAAAGCCTTTAGGAGCAGATAAGTCGGTATAGAGAAAGCAAAAGGTGTATCAAGCAAGGTAGCGACTGAGATTTGGTTCCTTAGTCACTGGTTGCGCTGAGCCGGTGAGTTGAATTTCAGAGTGTTCTAGATTGTGGTCTATTTGTGCCGCTGCCAGTCTTACCTTGATAGATCGACCCAATTCTCAGTCGTAACTGTGAAGCAGCTTCGATGAGCTTTCGTTTGATATAAAAACTTACTAATAAAATAGCTTTTTTCGCGTCCGCCTAGCCTCTTATATCCGGTTTATAGTCACTTTCGATCTTGCGCTCTTGTACACTTTCATATCAATCCTTATTCGTCCATAAAAAGATGGCATCAATGGTGATAGTCCATCATCTAAATTACAAAGTCTCAGTTCAGATAAATATATTATTTGCCTGAAATGGCAGGTTATATATACACACAACCAAAACTGGACGCACGCATGCGGAATTTAATTTCAACGCGACTTAATTGCACTGAGTAATGAGCACCGTCTCTAACACTATAAAAGAACGGAAGAAAACTAACGCAGCACAGACGATCACTGGGAATTGAGAATAACAAAGTTGAAAAATGATGCTGCTACTAACCATCTCCCTGGTTGCTCTAACAATCACCCCTGCCTTCACCTGGCCAGCTGAAGACCCGGAACTGGGTCAAGTGAATGGGGTCGATCCACCTAAATCTTCTCCTGTTTCCACCGAACATCAGGCCCAGCAATTACTTTATGGAGCCATGCAGGAAGAGAACAAGCTAATTACCACTGAGCAGGAGGTCCCAGCTTACAATTACGGATCAATGCAGGAATTGGCTGAGGCCCAGTTTCACCTTCGCTACGAAATCCCGGTGAATGGCCTGGCCATAGGACAGAGTGTAGAGGTGGTCTATAAGAACCCAAACTCTGGTGTGGTAGCAGTCAACTTTGTGACAGACACTGGCGCCATTTCTCTGCACGTTAACCCTCGCTACAACTGGGGAGGAAATGTCAATTTCCTCTACCTCAACACTTTCTTCAGTGGAAGGTGGCAGAAGTACCAAACGGCCCCCGGCTTCCCGTTCCCAGCTAATGGAGTATCCACAACAGTGTCTCTTCGTATAACCGTTCAGCAGAATTCCTTTCTCATACTGGCCAACGATATCCCAATAACAAGGTTCGCATTTCGTCATTCGCTGAGTCCAAAAAGCATCAGAAAAATCCAGTGGACAGTTTTGGACAACACAGCTACCAGAAAGGCTGTTCTGGAGACACTGGCACTCCATTTCTAACTCCAGTCTGACTAAACTACAAACTGTATAGTAGATGCAGCTCAATTAGAGCTACTATTTGAATGTGAACTTTTCATAGTCTGGTTTTGTATTGTAGCTATTATTCATCAAGTAGTGTAGAATTTTGAATTATCACAAACGAAGGTTCACTGACTAATCTGACTCTATAAAGTGTAACCTCAAAACAATGACAGGGAAGGAGAAACATTTTATCTTAACAGGTTGCCACTATAACTTTGGAGGTTCTGTATAAGAATGATTATGACTCTAAAGTGTATTTTATGGGTGACTGTAAATCGACATGCCAACTGCTACCCAGTAACACTAACTATGCCTATACTTAATGGCAGTCGCTGCTGCTGAGAGAGAACTCATCAACCTGTAACAACTGGCTCATCATTAACAGTTCGGATTCTGCTAGTGTACGAAATAGACAATGCCCAATGCAGATAACCAGTACATACTGACATGAAAGGGGATGTAGGGTTGTTACATTATGAAAAGAAGGGGAACAAGTAACCCCATCCCTACCTACCATTGCCTAGATGAAATATTCAACATTCACCATTATAATGAAAAGCACTGAAGTGCAAACCCTCGGCGAACTGCGCACGCGCGGTACCACTAATAATTTGATGGGCTGGGTTTTTAGTATGCGTTTACTCGTGGTATCCACGCTAGTATATAGCTCGCGGAGAGTCTGACACGGACTAGCTACAGTAGTAAATAGCACGCGGGAGTCGATACACACCCTTCGTTGTGACTTCTTATGCCTTCAAGATACACAGAGCAAGCGGACCCGGTCGAGGATATAAGCGCATGCGCCTTTTCCGCAGCGATAAAAATGGCCGACTATGCATTAGCTGTACAATGGTGGAAGCGCTCTAGCTTTGCAACGGAGCATTTTCAGAGAAAACCGCCTTTATTTTCTGACCTTCGTCGCCCGTTGGGTAGATGGTATCGTTTCTGAGACGAACAGATGTTCGAGGAGTGAGATATAGAGTAACAGACAAACAGACAGACCCAACTACTGTACCCTCGCTGCGCATGCGCGCCGAGGGTAACTATGACTTTAGGGCTCACAAATGAGTGCTGTAGTGACGTACCAAGAGGGATTAACTGCTAGAGGTTCATGTAAACCTGTGTGATTTCTTTTACCAGGACCTCCAACCTTACAGGAACTAGACTTTTTCGAACGTGTTGGAGTGCATTATCACGATTTCGGAATATTTCTACTTGATGATAACGTTGGTGCTAGAGTAACGACTCTAGCTGCTCCCCATCAACGTAATTCTGAGCCCATTCTTAAAGCCACCCTAATGAAAGAAAAGTACAGCCTGTTGCATGGGCAGTTAATAAGGGAACTTTGTGGACTCACACACTCGCTCAATAATAATTATTCTTCTCGTTCGGCCCTAAGTTGACATACGGCGCTTGACTCTTTCTGACAGCAATGGGGAAGAAGTGGGTGGATTTACAGCATGTTTTCCGTGAGAATTTAAAACACGTTTCAAGAGTGCCTGGGGACGATACTACAGGTGGGCTGGGGCAGCTTTTTAGTATTTTTGACTTCACATATGCTGACATTACACTCGTAAAGGGTGTACAAGAGTTTCTGCCATAGTTAGTTAGGGGGCTATTTGTTGTTGTGGTCGTCATGGAAATGATGTAATACACATGCACACCAAGTTTCACCTCCATGCGTGCTATAGTTAGCGAGTTTGAGGAGTGAAGAGGTAGTTTTAAAGAAAAGTGCCTGATGCTATTTGTTGTGGTCGTCATGGAAACGATGTAATACACATGCGCACCAAGTTTCACCTCCATGCGTGCTATAGTTAGCGAGTTTGAGGAGTGAAGAGGTAGTTTTAAAGAAAAGTGCCTGATGCTATTTGTTGTGGTCGTCATGGAAACGATGTAATACACATGCGCACCAAGTTTCACCTCCATGCGTGCTACAGTTAGTATGTTTGAGGAGTGAAGAAGTAATTGTAAAGAAAATTGCCTGAGGCCTTTTCGAACAATATGCAGTCGTCATGGAAACATGTAGTTGTCATGGAAATGATATAATAGGCATACGTACCAAGTTTCATCTCTATGTGTCCTACCAGGGAGAGAGGATATGATAGTTCTGATCTGTGAATGGAGAGTGTGAACTTTCTGAGCTGACACTGAGGGATACTTTACTATAGGGATAAAGGGGGAGATGGGAAGAATGTGGGGGAGGAATTGAGTGAGTAATTACACTAGGGTGTGAGTTAGAATAATTGACATACCGGGCATTCTTTGACCAAATCCACGATCTCTACTTCTTGTTTGTACACAGCATTTGGGTGGGTTAAAAGAATAGAAGTATGTTATTTGCTACGAGAACTACATACTTTATGTGTGTTAAAGCAGCCAGCTGGCGATGTGAAATTGTGTGTCCAAAAACGCACAACGAAATTTGCAGTGTTACAGTATATACAAACTCCTCTAACTATTCTTCAACTGATTCATCTCCCATGTGCATGTTTGGTGATTACACTGTGACTATTTATTCACAAGGGCCTATGTAGATAATAATAATAATTAAACTAGGTGGACAATACAACAGGTAATGTTTATGAGGGAGAAGAGAAAGAGGATTTAAGACAGGACTGCAGGTCCTCAGGGAGAGAGGATATGATTGTTCTGATCTGTGACTGGAGAGTGTGGACTGTCTGAGCTGACACTGAGGGATACTGCCGGGTGGCCCTTGACTATAGGGATAAAGGGGGAGATGGGAAGAATGAGGGGGAGGAAATGAGTGAGTAATTACACTAGGGTGTGAGTTGAATGATTCACATACCAGGCATTCTTTGACCTGAAACATAGAATATGAGTCAATTTATCCAGCTTCTGAACTGCACGTGTAATGTACATGCACCTGGGAGTGTAATGTTTGAAGGTCCCACTGCAGCATGTGGAAAATATCACCTGAAAACACTTCGATACAACTGCATGTGTCCTATAGTTGTGGTTGTGGAGATGAAGCAAAAGTAAAAGAGGCTACTCTTTTGAAATATTATGCTCCACGCTTTGGTATGGATCTTCTTATGGACGATGATGGAAGAGCTACAAACCAGACCCGATCACGGAGAAGAATGAGATGGCTTAGCAAATTTACGTGGATTTTGTGAGATTAATTCTTTGTACAATTGTATATATTAGCTACTCTGTTGGCAGATTCGGCTGGTGTCTGAGGATTTGCAAGTTAATTGTTGTATATGAAAAAACATGTTTATAGCATACTAGCTAAAAGAATGAAAAGCACTGAAGTGCAAACCCTCGGCGAACTGCGCATGCGTTTACTCGCGGTCTCCCGCTAGTATATAGCTCGCAGAGAGTCTGACACGGGCTAGCTACAGTAGTAGATAGCATGCGAGAGTCGATACACGCCCTTCGTTGTGACTTCTTGTGCCTTCAAAATACACAGAGCAAGCAGACCCGGTCCTGTGCCAAATATAAGCGCATGCGCATTTTCCGCAGCGATAAAAATGGCCGACTACGCATTAGCCGTACAATGGTGGAAGCGCTCTAGCCTTGCAACGGAGCGTTTTCAGAGAAAACCGTTCGAAATTTCTGACCTTCATTGCCCGTTCAGTAAGTGGTATCCTTTGTGAGACGAAAGAACACTCGAGAAGTGAGATGAAGAGTAACAGACAGACTGACAGACAGACAGACAGACCCAATGAAAAGCACTAAAGTGCAAACCCTCGGCGAAGTAGCTCGCAGAGAGTCTGACACGGGCCAGCTACAGTAGTAGATAGCACGCGAGAGTCGATACACGCCATTCGTTGTGACTTCTTGTGCCTTCAAGATAGAAGGAGCAAGCGGACCCGGTCCTTTGCTAAATATAAGCGCATGCGCATTATCCGCCAGCGATAAAATGGCGACTACCGGCATTAGCCATACAATGTGGAAGCGCTCTAGCTTTGCAACGGAGCATTTTCAGAGAAAACCGTTCGAAATTTCTGACCTTCATTGCCCGTTAAGTAGGTCGTATCGTTTGTGAGACGAACAGACATTCGAAAAGTGAGATTGAGAGTAACAGACACACACACACACACACACGCACCCAACTACAGTACCCTCGCTGCGCATGCGCCGAGGGTAACTACTCTCTGTCTGTTATTGCAGTTGGTCTGTGTGTGTGTGTGTATGTGTGTTTGGTATGGGTTAATTGTCGCTGAAAAGACAAGCCTCTCTGTCGTGAGGACTTTTTCGACGGCCGGGCGTTCTGTCTGTCTGCCTCTTGGAACAGAAGCAGTATCGTTGCCTTGCCCGCTCAAGATCTCGTAATGGTCCCTGAAAAGACGAGCCTCTCTGTCGTGAGGACTTTCCACGGCCGGGCATACATAGATAGAAAATTCGAGCCGAAGACACGATTCTCTGTCTGTTTTTCTTCGAGGAAGAACACTATCCTCCACGGATGAATCTATCTCCAACTGGACAGACTGTAAGAGGATGGAGAAAAAATTCCGCACAGTATGTCGTATAATTGGGCGAGCGGAGCGAGCCCACCTAGTGGTGTCTTCGGCTCGAATTTCTATCTATATAATACCACGCACCGTCGTCGTCTTAGTGCGCATGCGTTAATATTACGCGTTTCTGTGAGGAATTTTTTTCTCCATTTTCTTACGCTTCGAAGATCCGCGGAGGATAGTGTTCTTCGTCGAAGAAAAACAGACAGAAAATCGTGTCTTCGGCTCGAATTTTCTATATATGTATGCCCGGCCGTCGAAAGTCCTCGCGACAGAGAGGCTCGTCTTTTTCAGGGACGATTACGAGATCGAGAGGCAACGATACTGCTTCTGGTCCAAGAGGTAGACAGACAGAACGCCCGGCCGTCGAAAGTCCTCACGACAGAGAGGCTGGTCTTTTCAGCGACGATTAAGAGATGGAGAGGGGGAGCTGGCACATTACTTTTCCGTTGCTACTTTATTCTGGTCTAGTTTTACTAGCTACGTATGCGCAAGCTG